TGGAGCACCCGCCCAGCCCTACACTGCAGTCGCGCGCCCCGCGCCCTCCCCCGCACTGCGCGGCCCCCACCTGGTCTCCTGGTTGCTGAACTTCTTGGTGATCACCTTGCCCAGCTCCAGGCCCAGCCGGTCGGCCACGCGCTGGGACAGGTCGTGGTGCGAGCTGCCGCTGAAGAGCACAATGTTGGGCATCCTGGAGCTCCAAGGGGTGCGCGGCGGAGACGGAGTCGGCAGTGGCAGCGGAGGCGGCAGCTGGAGCGGGAAAACGCGGCTGCCGGGCGGAGGGTGGAGCGGAGCCAGGAGTAGCCGCGGGAGGCGGAGCTGCGGGAGGCGGAGCTGGAGGGGCGGAGCAGGGGGAGGAGCGAGGAAGCGCCGCGGCTGGACCCAGTGGTGGAACGGGGCGGGGGGCGGGGAGGAGCAGCGCGGGAAGGGGAGGAGAAGGGAAGTTGGAGAGGACGGAGGTGAACTGGAAGAACGAGAGAGGGTTGAGGAGCAGGAGTGGAGGGAGAGAGGGAGGGGACTGGGAGGCAGGGGCTGACCACACACCCAGGGCGGTAGGTTTGGGGACCCTGGGTGGTCCTGAAGCAGTGACGTGCCCTCGCTCGGTGGGAGAGCCCCAGGCGCTAATACTGACCTTTTTGGTTCTGCCTGGAGCGGGAAGGCCAATGAACCAGATTAACTGGACACCCAAGGAGGGTGCAGGGACAGGCGATGGAGGTGCCTCGCAACGAGGAGTGATCCCCCAACCCAGAATAGCCCCAAATTTATTGCAGATGACTGGAGTCCAACTACAAGGGTCTGCAAACTGTGGCCCGGGGGCCAGATCCACAGCGCTGCCTCTTTGTACCATTGCTAAGCGTTGTTTTCACACTCGTACATTTGCGATGTACGTGATAACAGCTACACTACCTTTGAACTCCAATTATGAGAACTATCCCCGCTCAAAAAAGAACTTTCCACTCGTTAGTAGATGTGTACTACAAAAAACTGTACTCAATTATTATATTTTGGATTTGGTCGATGAAAACATTGAAAATTTTCCTCCCGTCATATTAGTACCTACATAATTTGCTCTTCGTTTTGCCTCTTGGCCCACAAAGCCTTAATTATTTATCATGCGGTCCCGAGTGAAAATTTACCAACTTATGTTACATCTGCAGCATATTTCAATTGGGACTAGTGGCTAGTAGTTGCCATATTAGAGCAAGAAGTTCTAGAACATTGGTTCCTAAGAGCAGTGCCGAGACACCCTGATGCATTCATTCTATTGTGTGTTTTTATTATAAGCATGACAAATAATTTACAACTAATTATAAAATGCTACAGTTTATAATTTACTTTAAAATGCAAGTTAAAATAAATTTTATTCTTCTATTAGTGACATTCTCACTCAAATCAAATATTTTTTCTGATTTTTATTTCTATGTCTTTTACGTGCTATTAAAGAACTTTAAACAAAAAAAGAGTGTAATGAACACCCATAAATCCATCTCTTTAGATTTAGCAGCTGTCAAAATTTGGCCATATTTGCTTCATCTATTTTTTCTCAAGTATTTAAATTACAGTCATCAGATATCTATATCTAAATTCTTTAGTCTGCATCTATAAAAGGATAAGGATATCACACCAGATACAAAAATTCAAAATAGATCAAAGACCTAAATGTAAGGGCTAAAACTATAAAACTCTCAGAAGCAAACATAGATATAAATTTTCATGACCTCGGATTAAACAATGATTTCTTTAATATAACACCAAAAGCACAAGCAACGGCAACAACAAAAATAGAATAAACAAGACATCGAAATTAAAAACTTTTGTGCTTCAAAAGGTACCATCGAAAAAGTAAAAAGACGACACAAAGTGCGGGAGAAATTGTTTGCAATTCATCTACCTGATGATGGATTTGTATCTAGAAAACATAAAAGCAACCACGACTCAATAAAAAAGACAATTTTAAAATAGGCAAAAAAAAAGCTACACATGGATGTTGATAGTAGCTTTATTCATAATTACCAAGACTTGGAAGCAACCAAGATGCCCTTCAGTAGGTGAGTGGATAAATAAACTGGTACATCCAGACAGTGAAATATTATTCAGTGCTAAAAAGAAATGAACTATGGAGCCATGAAAAGACACACAGGAACCTCAAATGCATATGACTAAGTGAAAGAAGCCGATCTGAAAAGGCTGCTTAGTGTATGATTCCAACCATATGATATTCTGGAAAAGGCAAAACTACAGAGACAGTAAAAAGATGAATGGTTGTCAGGGGTTGTGGAGAGGTGGGGATGAACAGGTGGAGCACAGAGGATTTTTAGGGCAATGATGGTGTTCTGTATGATACTGTAATGGTGGATACATGCCATTATACATTTCTCCAAACCCATAGAATGTACAACATCAAGAGTAAATCCTAATGTAAGCTATGGACCTGGTAGATAATGATGTGTCAATGTTGCTTCATCAGCAATAACAAATGTACCCCTCTCACGTAGGATGCTGATAGTGGGGAACGCTATGAGTTTGTGGAGGCAGGGGGTATGTGAAAATGCTCTGTACTTTCCACTCAATTTTGCTGAGAATGCAAAACTGCTCTTAAAAAAAAGTCCACTTAAAAAATGGAAAATAAAGGCAGAAGATCCGAATAGATATTTCTCCAAAAAAAGATACACAAAAGGCTAATAAACATATGAAGAAATGCTCAGCATCGTTAGCTACAGGGAAAGGCAAATGAAAACCACAATGGGATACCACTTCACACCCACTAGGATGACTATAATTAAAAAGACAGATAATGACAAATTTTGGTGAGAATGTAGAGAAATTGGAATCTTCAAACACTGCTGGTGGGAATTTAAAATGGTGCAGCTGCTTTGGAAAACAGTCTGGCAGTTCCTCAAACAATTAAACATAGAATTAGCATATAACCCAGCAAGTCCACTCCTATGGATAGAGCCAAAAGAACTGAAAATTGGTACTCAAATAGTTGACATGAATGTTCGTAGCAGTACTATTCACAATAGGCAAAAGATGAAAACAACCCAGGTGTCCGTCAACTGATGAATGGATATATAAAATGTGGTCCAGCCGTACAATGGAATATTATTCAGCCATAAAGAGAAATGAAGTTCTGATGCATGCTATGACATGCATGAACCTTGAAAACAGTATGCCAAGTGAAAGAAGCCAGTCACAAAGGACTACATATTGCATGATTCCATATTCGGAATAGGCAAATCTATAGACAGAAAATAAATTAGGGGTTGCCTAGGGCTGGGGGATGGGAGGATGGTGATGGCTAAGGAATGTAGAGTTTCTTTGGAGGGCAATAAAAATATTCTGAAATTGATCGTGGAGATGGAGGCACAACTCTGAGTATACCAAAAGCCATTGAATTTTTTACGTTTTAAAAGGGCGAATTGAATGGTAATGAATTATATCTCAACAAGAGCTATTTTTAAACAGGACAATTTTCTTTATGACTCTGATCACATCTGAGATAGTAAGATGTCAAGGTCTCCTGCTATTAATGACACAGATCAATCACCGGCTGAAGGTGGTCATGGTCTGATTCCTCCATTATCAAATCAGTTTGTTTTCTCCCCTTGCAAATGCTCATTTTCTAGTTTTATCATTCCTTCCCGTCTACAAATATTAGCTGAATCCTCCAGTAAAGGGGAACACTTCTTCATCTTCTGGGGCTACTTGGTTACCCTCAAATACAGTTTGTACTGGAAATCGAGACAAAAGCTTCATTTTCTTCCTTTCAATCACCAGTGTTCAGAGTAAGGAGTTTGGCGTGGAAATGCTACCTCTGACTGACAGGATCCAAGGATCCTTGGCCATCTGGCAGGTCCCAGGTCTGGGGCAGCGATGGACGTGAGCCAGGACATTTGGCCTCAGCCACAGCAAAGACAAGGAAGAGTATGTCCAGAGGATAAAGTCACCAGCTTGAAGCAATGGTTACTACTTGTCCAAAGGACAGTGTGGACATCAAAACCTCATGGAATGATAATTGCCTAAAATATACCAAATATGTAAATATCAGGGAGTCCATAATGACACTCAATAAAATGAAAACCAGAACAAAACAGGAACAAATGTAAATTCGCTCGAATCCAATGAAGATGGATATGGAACTAACTCCTTTCCACGAAATCTGGTCATGAAACAGTAAATTTTCTTGAGAGGCAAGGTAAAGGCGGAATTGACCAATTTCTTTGGTAATTACATATAATCTGATGCTGCCCAGGGAAATGTCCCTTTCATGTGGGCCACATCAGTCACTTTAGGAAATTCGATCAAAGATAAAGACTCTGGGGCCCTCAGCAAGCTTAAGAGAGCCGGACGTGGCCTGCATAATTCAAGCCGAGGCGTCAAAGCAAGACAAGTGGCACAGGAATTCCCAGCCGGGGTGTAGATGGGAACGTGAGGAAGTTTTATAACAGTGGAGCTCGAAGGTTCTTAAAGGGGACAGAGGTTCTTAAAGGGGACAGAGGCTCTGCGTGGCTATGAGGAGGCATGGCAATGTTCTGGTGAGAGCAGCAACGGTTAAGTGGAACTGAGTTTCATTTTAGTGTGAGCCAAATCGATAGAGAAGTGCAGGGTCTAAAGCAAGAACCAGTAAGAGCAAGTTTCTGCAGACCCTTCTAGAATAAGGTCGCAGTTGAGAGAAGAGAAGGAATAATAATATTGTACATGTGGATAGCACTAACTACATGGCAGGCCTTCACAACAATTCTGTGAGATCATTCTTATCACTTGCATCCCCATTTCACAGGTAGAGAAACAGAGAGGTTAGGTAACTTGCCCAAGATCACACAGCTGCGTAGTAGACCCAGGCAGATTTTACTACCGTGTCTCATGTCGCTTACTTCACCATGTAACGAGAGCAGTTGAAGAAGGCTTTCCATTTTAGCTCAATGCGATGTATAAAAAGAGTATTTCTCCTTTCTTATGATGATATTTCCTGCTTCTAAATAATCCTATAATTTTGATAAAGATTATCCCATGCACACAACATTTCTTGGAATGTTGTTGGAATGCCTGCCTCCAAGCACGATCCTGGGCTTTCTTGTCTTCTTCATTCTTCTCTTTTTCTTTTTTTAAATTCATTTATTTTAATTAGCTTCGAGTATGCAGTATATTGGTTAGACATCTATATAGTTTGTAAAACAATCCCCCCCAATTCCTCCCTCCCTCCCCTGACCCTCCACCTAGCCAACATATTAATGTTAACTGCATTCCCTATGCAATGCTCCCCATCCCCGTGACCACCCATCGGCTACTAATTTGT